GGGGGAGAATGGGGTACTTCAAAGCAGCAGCACCAGATGGAGCCTGTATTGAGTTCCCTACAGTGCTGCCACTATGGGGTAGCACCACACAACAGATCCTGGGATCAGCTGCCATTTCCATTTCAAAGGAGGAATGTGGAAGTGCCTATCCTCTAGTTGAGTAGTTGATGAAAATTCCATTGACTACTCAACTAGTAAATTACTCAATACTTAATATCCTCAGAGTGGACCACGGTGAAAATCCCAAGAAGAAGTTATTACCTAAAATATATTAAATGAAAACAAGTTTGTTAGAAAATGGAATTTGAAATTAAATTGGAGCTAAACAGTACTAAATTTGACCACAGTACTAAACTAGACCTAGCTTCTGGTAAGCAAAGAAACTTTTATTTGCAGGAGAAATTAAATGCTCTCATCATGAGAAAATTCCTGCCTCTGATGTTAAGCCTTCACTGCAGAGTTAACATGGGTAGTTGTCTTGGTTAGCCTAGCCTGGAGGAAGAGCTACACTGCAACACCACACCTACATTACTGTGTCCTCACTGGTGCTGCACTCACCTATGTGAGTGACTTCTGGTGGCATGTCCCATAGCTCTCTCTGCTGCTTCAGTAAGCTAAGCCATTCTGTGATTTTTTTCAGTGAATTATGAAACAACGCATCTGTCCTTCTGGGGTTGTGGAGGAATTATGGGAAGGCATTGGAGGACTTCAGTAGTTTAGATACATCCTCACTGAAAGTGGGTAGGGTTCCAGGCTGTATAATAACCTCACTCAGCCTTTAGCATGAAACAAGCCGGCTAATCTGAGAAAACCTGACCCCAAGTTTAGTGTTTTCATCTCTGTACAGGACAAGGGTTGAGGGCAATATGCCAATTAGAGCCTGAGTTAACTTTGAATTGAAGACTTACTGTGAAGGATTTGATCCCAGTGTCTGAGCTCCATTTCACAGAATCATAGACCTTGAAGGGACCTCAAGAGGTCATCAAGTCCATTCCCCTGCACCCATGGCAGGACCAAGCATCAATTTCCCTGGGGATCACATCCATTTCTGACCCACGAATACTTCTGATCTGATCTGATAGCTTCTTCCCCAACTTGTATTAGAGTTTACTTTCTTTGTAATTTCTCCAGAGTTACACATATCTAGTTAGATCAGTGCAACCCCTCTGTAGACTTTCTGTAAGCAACTTAAGTGTTTTATATCAAATCAGATTCCACTAAATTGACATAAGGAACTCTTAAGATGATTTCTGAATTTTGTTAATCTTACTGATGTAAATAGGGCCTTAACTATGGAGTCAGAGCCAGCATCTCATTAATTAATGTAAATGTTTTTTGGGATCTTTGCATATGTTCTTGGCTGCTTT